AAATAACATATTGTATATTATATACATCTGTGTGGTTATTGAAGTATAATAATCCATATATCCTTAATATACAATCATTTTGTGCACGTCAACATTTTGTCCACTGGGTGGAGACCTAGCCACAGTTTGAAATGATTTCTGCACCAGACACTTACCCAATGTGTGATATTAGTTGACATTAAAGACAATGACATTAATGGTAACAAAAAAATAATTAACAGCTGTGTCAGTGTATTCAATGTATCAGCAGAGGAAGAAAACAAAGGAGAGTGCAGATGGTGCAGTAAATTTAGGACATTAAATCAGTAATGAAGGTGTAAAATAAAAGTCTTACTTATGAGATGCATTAAATGGAGCAGGAATATATATGCAGAGTGTAGCGTCACCTTAAGGAAAGGTAGAAGATTTAAAACCTGTTTTTTGTCAAAGACAAGCTTCAAAGTTTCTTATTTCAAAGCAGCTCCCTTGTGTATTAATTTAGTTTCTGCTTCTTAAGGTGCTGCATTAAATCAGGAGACTTCCTCTGAATATTTTTTTGTGTGATCCAAAATTTACACACCAGCTCAAACACAAACGAAGCGAAGAGGAAAATGTCCACCCATAAGTTGAACTGAGAATAAGTGGATGCACAAAGAGACAGCGACAGAATAAAAAACATTAATAATGAAAACATTTTTCTATTTATAAACTTATCCATGTCTAAGTATGTGTATATAAATGTGAGTAACTTTTTCTGTCATCACGCATTCATTGTTTCTCTTTTGCTGTGAACTGTTCTGTGTTTTCCAGGCTGTGTCTCTCTCTCACCCTCGACAGCATTGACCTTATCCACATTAAACTCCTAAATGTGTGAGAGAGGTCTGACCTTTCTTTGACATCCCATAATAACCAGAGCCGCCACCTGAACAGCTTAACAAAGACAAATGACAGAGGAGGAGTTTCTTCAGGAGGACGGAGAAAAACTTCATCATGTGAGCAGATATTCATACAAACCTAAACAACGTGAAATAAAGTGCAGAAAAAAGCCTCATGTTATTTGTTTCTTTCATCATTTTTCCAAATATAACTGCACTTCATAAACTCTCACACACAACATGCACACTCACAACCATAAACAGAAATTATTATCCACAAATGAATGCACATGCAAATACACACACACACACACACACACACTCACACCTTGGCTATAGCTCTGGGACCTGTGCACTCTCTGTCACAGTAAAAGCTATTTTGCGTTTTTCGCACATCAAAGGTAGCGGCTCAGACAAAAACTAAAACTCATCTGACCCCATTCTATCACACACACACACTCACACACTCACACACACACACACATACACACACACACACACACAC